GGCAGGTCAAATTGTTCTCGAGGTTATTAATGAAGAGACACACACACAGCCAATGCATATACTAGTGCTGATCGTGCAAACCATCTGGCAGGTCAAATTGTTCTGTATGCTGTCATTCAACGTCTTTTCGCTCCAATACGTTATTTATCGTGCCACAGAAAGAGCTGAAAGCACCAAAGAAGAGGCGCTTCCGCAGTAAGCACAACAAGAATTCGAATGCTAAGATGGACGTGACCGGCAGTTGATCCACTGGAATGTTTTAGTTATAGTAGGGTCCGATATCAGATCAGTGTAGGTTTATAAAATAAAGTATTTTCAATATAACTCATAGTCTTTGACGTAGTCTTCTGATGTATGCTTTAGAAGGCTATATATTCAGACACACATCTATATTCTCATTCATTATCGCTTGACATTATGCAAGACCCTAATATACAAACATAAGTTCAGTAGGGTTAACAATTTTAGATGAGAATCTTAATTTTTTTAGAAGGCTATAGATCAATATTATTTTTATATATTTATTTTTATATATTATAGCAGACAATCTGGAATCTGAAAGCCAAGGCGATCCACTTTACACACTAATAATATCAAGTACGCTGCCGCTGGTGCGGTCTGTCCAGTGAGAAGTCCGAGGTCGCCTCATAAACATCAAACATAGTTTCATATCTCCGCTTGATTTATGTGTCACCAAGTTCGAGTCTCAATTCCTGTTTAAAATAACTAGTCGATGCGTATACATCTACATTCACGGTTCCACTGAACAATATTGTGATGACGGAAGTGGCAGTTGCCGATCTAGACACGTCTTACGTCACTCAGAGCGATGGAGTCATCCTCGCTGCACCTGTTATTGAAAATGAGACAGTGCGTGTATTTCCCTGTCCCAACACAACGTATGGGTGTACCTTCTCGGTATGGAGCTCGTTGCAGCTTGTGCTTATTATGTGTTGGCAGTGTTTTGTAATATCATATAGAAGGTGTCCCCAAGATTATGGAATATAGTAGTCAAAAATTATGCAAGCATATTCTCGCTTCATTTGTTACTGAAGATGATGCAGTGCGTTTGTTCACCTGTTCCACCACAACTTACGAGTATACTTTCTCGTCCAAGAGATAGTGGAATAGTGGTTTCGGCTTGTGGCTTTGCTCTCTTGTAGTGTTTGGATCCATACAGTGTTCGGTCATTTGCATATACCAATTATACATAGAATCTACTACTTGGTATTCTTTTGAATGCGAGCTACGGATATGATGAAAACTGCATTGAAAAATTTGAGCACCAGCAGTTGTCTAAGTTGAGCTTTAATGTGAAACGCTCATGAGGAATCTTTGGCAACCAAGATCACACTGTAGTTTCATATATGTGCGTCTTGCGTATCGTTGGACCACCTCGAGTTCTCTGAGTGAACTGCTAACAGTTATGCCAGGATTACGATTTTACGTATAACACTTCAGTATGAATCATGCAGCGAAACTTTCAATAAGACTTGTTTGACGTTAGTCAAGATACTCCCCCTTGGTGCGGGCTCGGTCAATGTCAATTTATTACGTTGGTCATGACACATGGCAAGTAACTATGTTACAACTCATTTCAAAGGTCTATATTGCTACCATTTGTATAGAAAATGCTGATTTAATTGTTATGAATTTTAACTAATATGTTGAATGCTCTATCTACTAGGAATTACTCAGACCATGCCTTAGCATCCATCCAATAACAGCATATATTAGTTGCTTCACGCCAAAAGTGATTTGATATGAAGAAATATTGTGACACTTGCATTATATGAGACGCAAAATGGTATAACCTACTAACAAGAACACTATGGAGATGGACCCAATTGGTCGTAAACTGAATTTATTATGCATACTTGAAGCAACCAAATTAATGGGGGAAACCAACCCGCCAGTCGCGCCGTATTTTCCGTTATCCGCATTCTCATAGCGTCTAATGCGGCAATGTTCATATCTAACATGAAGTCACGAACATTATAGTATTTCAAATTACGATCCATTAGGATGCCAATACATACATACTGCATGTTTGTATCTATTGGTAGAAGCGTTGACGATTGCAATCCTGATGTATTTCATGGCGAGAATGCCTGGCATTCATCGCATGGTGCATTATATTCGTGCATAATTGATTCTTTGGAATATTATGAGACAGCTAAGCTTAAAATTCCTTTGTAAATATCAATTCAGGGTGCCGATGAGAACATTTTGAGCGACCATCTTGAGAACGCGTGTCAGGTATGTATGGTACTTCTTTTTTGAATGATTTGTTGCACGATACATATGCGCATACACAATCGCATTGTAATATCCTCTCAATGTTCACTGACATCGATCACGGATTTACCTGGCATGCTATGAGTAGCCAATTCCACATGCATAGAGACCTGGCATGGAATTGTAACTTATCACTGCATGTCACTCCTGGAACTAGCAATGTTCGCGTTACATCTGTATGTTTGTTTGCCACTTTCAGAAACCAAAATATATTAGACAGTGTGTTTGGTCAATCTTTTTATGCTTCTGACGCGATTCATACATGACGAGCATCCTGGATCACCTACACGGTTGCAGAAGTGACCATTGGCTTACACCTGTCCCCCATGGTGTTGCAAAAGTCTTACACATCATGATCTGCCTGTCTCTTGTAGAAACAACAATTGCTGCTGTTCATCGAAGAACGTGAGGAGAATCTAAACCAGCTGAAGGCTGAGCTACGATTTAGAGACGAAGAGTTGATAAACCTGAAGGTACGCTGTGATCGTATTTATATGTATTCAACTTGTCCTTCCAAGGCATACAAATGTTGGGTTGACCGTCCTGTGTATCGGATTTTTCCAGTATCTGTACAGTTAAAATTCAATATTACTTCAACCTGTGGATGGTATGAAGCTTGGCACATATTCTGTGCTAGCCATACTGACTCAGCATCATCGTAGTTGCATTTGTGTGAGACTATATGAGTCGTTAGCATGATCTGTGCTATATTTGCTGCCTGCAGCCTCTTTTTCCGTATGTTCTGCTTGCTTGCTCTAACCATGCTTGCTATCGACCTGTAAATTTCGAAACTTCTTTCCAGTTTACGCTCTCGCGTATCAAATGTGCTATCTGATTAGTTCATTCGTATACAATGCAGTTGGTTCTTTTCGGAAATGTTGAGAAGGACAGACCTCAGCATCAAATTGACGAAGAAAATGCTATCGCTGCGAAATTGACTGCTAACAGCACTAAATCATCCCCGCCTACTGTGCTGTTTTTCAAAAACATCAAAGACAAAATTGAGGCGCACAAGTATGTACTTTGATAGCCTTCAATATGGATATAATGCGTTTAGACGCCAGCTGTTTACTGTGTGCATGGTACATGCTCGTAGTAGTATTGGAATGTGCCATCGTATCCGCACTAAGTATTGGAGACAATTCTGTTTGCCATTGAGTTCGCTTCCAGATAGTGTGTTATATAGCTTTGCCCATTAACAGTTAGCGATCAGCATATAAGTACGGGTATAGGGATAACAAACCGAATTGGCTTCTATTAAAGCTCGTCTCATCAACTCGCTGAACTCCAGGAGTAAGAAAGCGGCGCAGAAGGAAGAGGAAGCGCGAAATGCGGCTGAGATCATTGCAGCTCCCATTGATAGCAGGCAGCCGTTAAAGAACAGAACGAGTTTACTAGATATGATGAAGTTGAAGTCATCCCCTCAAAGGAAAGATAGCAATTCCGATACCGTCTCGATAAGAAGTTCGCAGGAGGATAACTTCGTCACATGATTGTCGACGAGTCTACTATACTTTATTTATTTTAAATGAGTGGCTACGACACCAACCTACCGGTACAAACCGAGACACGGCGTCAAATTGCGCGAGAGTTGTATCCGAGCAACATATTCGATGCAGATTGGAGAACGCTCATGGGTGTTCCAATTGGCACTAGTTTGAGTGAGACAAAATCGTACAGAGTGCAGCCCGTGCCAGAGCATTGCGTATTTCAAGCAGTATCTCAACAGTTGAGTCCGGTTATTGGATTTGGGTTTCCGGAACGATAAATACGCGGGCTGTCAATTAAACCACATCTTAACTTCAGCAGCACAACAAGCCTATGTTTTTCTTTCTGATTAGTTTACAGGTATACAAGTTTGAAAGATCTGCTTTTAATTTTATGACAGGCCTGGATTATTCGTCATGGGCTGGACTATTCACAGAGGCTGCAGTTCGCTATGAATGGTATAGGATAATTCATGAGGCCAACGATTCAATAACGGTAATATTTAAGTTTAATCGAGAGTTAAAAATATATGTATTGGAAAAGTACATAAGTAGATACGGGTTGGCGCCTTTAGATCGTAAGGAAATTCAATATGAAGAAAGGATGGCTACCCCTGAAGGAACACGCCTGGAATAATCACCAGTATGTGTCGATGGACCATTAACCAATAAAACAACGATAGGTGCCGATAATGTATCCTCTGTTGAACAGTCTAGTTGACCATGTTGCGAGCATATTTGTGTGTGGCAGTCTAATTTGCCGCAGAAAATAAATAGGCTGTGCTCTGCTTTTGTCCCTGCATATTGTAGTGCGTCGAAGGCTTCAACCGGGGTTTGGTACATTAGTATAGTATTGAGTACACATATATTTCCTATCAGTTGAAAAATAACTCGGTATACTTCATACTTATATCAATCGAAGGGTACTGGACACGTTATGATATTCTTGTACCCATATAAAACGACCTGACGTCGACCGCAGCAATTAAGGTAGACAACTGCAATTCTAGAGTAACTCCCGTTGCCAAACGTGCGACACATTTCATTTATTATGACATCATCAGATTTCGAATAGTCGACAATATTGAATTCTCAATATATACCTGCGAAAGCGAGTACATTGTTAACGAAATGATGTCCTGTTTTAAAAGTGGTATATATTTAAAAGGCATTGCTCATAGCGACAACAGTACGAGTAGTAGATCTAACAAAACTATAAAGGCAGGTCAATAACTAACTCATTTACACGGTGTACCGCAACCCTAAAAAAAGTAAGTACGAAGACAGAAATCGAGACCGGATAAACAAAAAGACAATGTTAGACACCTTTATTTGCATTGCCTCTGCCTTGATGCCTTACATATCTCGACGACCGAAATCCCGTCCCGCGGATTCATCGCTCGGAGTTTGAAATCTGCATGAGTAGAGAATCTACTTCTTCATGCGTAGACGTCGCTTGTGCAACTTCTCGATGTTAGGGTGGGCCGAGATGAATGCCTCCTCAATCTTTTCTCTTTCCTCCTCGTCGCTTGATGAGATTGAGGATCTGCTGACCTCGGGGTTGTAGTTGCCACCTGTCAAATATAACATACATTTGGAATTAAAACCCATAAAGCAAAGTGAATAAGCTACAAGCAGATCAATACTCAAAATCAATGTCACAGCGAAGATCTCCGGAAACTTACATGTTTTGCAGAAGTCAGGCTTTCCGATGAGCTTGGAGGTCTCTTTCTGGCATCTGCCGCAGTTGAACTTTCCCATAATTGTTGTTTGGCTTTTCTTCTTTGTTCAGAAATGGGGATAGAGGCATGAATGCGCCCGCCTAAATACTAAAATCCTATAGTAGTGTTTGCCTGGTCCACCATAGCTCCTTTGCCGAGACCTGTGTGTGTCGGCAGTCGGCACTGTCGAGAGATGCTTGTAAATATAATACAACGATTTGAACGATATGCCCACCATATCCAATCAGGATCTTAAGATTGGATTTGTTTGTTGGGGGGGGGGGGCAATTTTTTATCAACATGCAATAACAAATACCAGTTTAAAATTACATACCATATTAGTCGAAATTATTAGTCCTTGACTAAAAGAGTTGACTACCCGCTCTCGGGTAGTAGGCCGCTATTTAAATACACGTAATTGGTGTTGAGTAACAGTCAATACATAAAATATCATCAGAAATACATAGTGATCATATGGTGTAAACAGTAAATATTTACATGGCCCTCTCTCTCTGTTTGTAGATTTAAAATAGAAAAAAGGTCTCGAGGCGAAAGTCAAGTGCCCCTCAACGACCCTATTTAATCTAGAGAGAGAGTCCAGACTCCCGTCCCGAGAGCCTGAGTCCTGAGGGCCGTGGTATTTGTTTTTAAATTTTTACTAAAAAAAAACAAAATACAACTATACGCAATGTAAATATGTACACAAACTGAAAGATCAAAGATGAAAAGTAGAAAAAGGCCAAGACCAATTAACGTCTCACGTCTCAAGTCTCAAGTCTCAAGTCTCAAGTCTCAAGTCTCAAGTCTCAAGTCTCAAGTCTCAAGTCTCAAGTCTTAAGTCTCAACTCACAAGTCTCTGATTCAGTGATTCTTTCAAACTATGTCGATAAATACAATAAAAGCCTGCAGTCCTGCAGTCCTGCACTCGTGAGTCGTCACTCGTCAGTCGTCAGTCGTCACTCGTCTCTAAATATTTACAAATGTAATGTAAACACAAGCTCTCTTGCAGTTTGTATTCTGCTCGGGGAAAAAAATCAAACCAAAACTGAAAATTCCTTGTTCGATTTTTATTTTGACTTTTGTTGCCGTGTTGGCTGATGCTATTGTGTTTAAAAAAAACAATTGTATTGATGTACATATGTATGTACAACAATTTTACACAAATCTGAAATCTCGCGGGACGTTTTAAAGTCCAAACTTTTGATGTTCTATATATGTATTTTCACTTTTTTAACTTGTTGCCACCTATTAAAAATAGTATAGGCAATCGCGTAGCCATAGACTCTACGTGACCACTGACCAGACTTGAAAGTTGAGACTCCTCACTCCCCAGAGTCCAGGGGTTCTCCCGCTCCGCGAGACCTCAGAGTCTCAGACCGCGAGAGACAGCGAGTTCGTCACTGGAGTCAGGAGTTAGGAGTCTCAGCTGTGACCACTGACTTGACAGTCTGCGACCTTTTAGAGTCTTGGAGTCTTGTTGTGGGAGCACTCAATCGTACAGATAGGTATTTTATTTTGAAATATGTATGGTGCAGTTGCTGTAAGATAGTCGGCCAAATGACCCGGCACGAAATAATTACCCGATTCGAGAGTTTGATAGCGGAACATGCTCAGGGAGACCTGATCTGAAATATCACCCGGACACATTTTTGATATTGCACCCGTTTCAAAACCTGATTCTGACAGATTTGGAAAATATTGGCCGTTTTCAGATAACACCCTTCCAGTACGAAATTTGGAATTTTGAGGCCAGAAATCGACATGCCCGGTCATTTATAAAATCTGTCGGACTGTCAAAATATTGAAATTGTTATTCCTTCAGGTCGGAAAGTATATACATGTGTGTGACACACACATTTTATTAAGTAACAGTAGTATTGATATTAGTATAATTATGCTGCCAGAGAAGGCTAAGCATTTGAGTGGCGGGAGAGTGAAGAGGCACTCTTTGCGAAGTGCCAACAATCGCATTAGACCGGTATCACAAGATAAGGAGTATGTACCTAATGCTGAAGACGACACTTCGAGTAGTAGCGACAGTGATGTTGACGAGAAACAGCATGTCTATGTGTATGATCCACGGCTGCCCAAGGGGGTGAGTATAATAAAGAGTGTCCCTGAGGAGTATGAAGGCACAACTGAAAGAACACAGTGGCGAAAAAGGGCGAAGGTAAAACAGATTCAAAAGCAAAACAAAGAAATTACGATGTTGAATTACTACCATGTTGTTGAGAAAAACGTCTGTTTACCTCAAAAAGTGCGTCAAGTTGGGAGTGAATGAGAAGAAAATAGATCGAGCATCTGTCTCGGTTGACGTGGCTGATGACCATATCACTACTGATAATGGGAATACTGTAGAAATACGGCCTCCGGTCAGTCTAAAATATCAAGATCAATTGAGATAATACTTTGGTTTTTATTTGTAATTTAAATAATTTAATACAAGCTCTTTTTCCAATATGTCCAAAGTGTTCTAAATTCACTTTGATGGCTCCAATAGCCTGAGTATTTGGTATGACTCATCTACTTGGACCTATTTGAGACATTAGTAGATGTAGGATATTATAAACTAAATTTTATAATCTCCGAACTACTACTTATAGATTTTGGTCCTCCCGCCAATCTCCAAAATCCAATAAGTCTTTTTCTTTTTTTAACTTTTCTTCAGATGGAACTTTATTTATCAGCTAATATATTAACGTGACTTACGTTATTATGTCTATCTGCAAATTAGGCATGTGGTCATGAACACTTAGTACTTCCAGTGAAAATTATTCAATAAAGAACAGCTAGAGGTACGCCCTGTGTGATCGAGGATATTTAGGCTCTTAACAAGAGGAAGTCCCGATCATTCTTACACAAGCTACCACTGCTAAATCCTAACTGACTAAATTGTATTTTAGTTTAATATAGTTTGAAACCTAGTAATTTCCATCGAAGTTTACAATGGCACAGTATGGGCAAA